GTCCAGTTGGTTCTGGGCCCCATTTAAATGGGGCTTCACCTAGTCCTCATCCGATGCCACCTCATGCTATGATGAGTGGTTCGCCACATGGGCCCCATTCACATATGCCTGGAACTGGTGGTGGTGGTCCATCACCACATCCACATCATCCAGGGCACATGGTTGGTTCACCCCATCATCATATACCACCTACGGGGTCTATGATGGCACCCGGAATGCAACCTCAAGGACCAATGTGTCCTCCTGGTGCACCTGGTCCAATGGGCCCACATTCACATCCACAACCTGGAGTCCCTGGTCAACATTTACACAATGACCCATTTTATTGTTCACCTTTCGGATCTCCATATTACAGGTATAGGAGAATTTACTAACATTATTTTTCAATCACTTCAATCAAGTGATTTGTGTGTTAATTTATTCATTATTATTCTTTTCTTTATTTTCTAAAATTTATATTTCTGTTGAAAAAAGCGTTTGCCATTGACTCTCCTTATTCTCAATGGAGAAATACATCAAATTTATGAGAAACCGTAAATCCATTAATAGCTGTCATTACACCAAAATAATTTTAAATATTCAGACAATTACTAATATTAATGAAACAACAACTTAAATGAGCACAAATATTGACAATAATGCTAAAGTGCTAGATACAAATAGTTTTTAAGTTAAAAAATAGTAGGCTATTAATGATAATTAGTGAACAAATGATTTGAAAACTTTTCTGTTTGATATGGGTTATGCGTTAGTGACTGTTGTTATCTTATCGCTCGTTCTCTCTTCGAGGATAAGACAGGCCTTGATCGCGTCTACGTTTGATTTCATTACTTTAAAACAAAAAAAAAAAATTAAGGAAAAAACATGGAATTTTGACAAATTCTATTCACATAATTTAATTAAAATTGAAATATTGTTTTCAATCAATTTCAATACATTCGTATTGATATTATTTACGCACAAAATATACATGTGTAAAAATTTTTTAATTAAAGAAATTTTTATTCTGCATGTAAATGTAAAAGAAAAAGACGAGAGGAAGTTGTATAGAACTCACGCTCCAAGAGTCCGTGACGAGGAAATACATCCTTAATCCAATTGCATACATTTAAATAATAAACAATAATAATGTCAGACAATATGATAGAAATTTCGAGTCAAAATTCGAAATCTTTATATTCAAGAAAAAATAGTCATTTATTGTTCTTGGCAATTTTTTGAATGCACACGTGACCTCGCAAGACCTTAGCTAAGTGTCTGTAGTATTTCCACGAGAGAACCACAGCTTCGGCCAATCTACCTGCGTACTACGAACCTCAAAAGGTTCTCAACTTATTTATCAGATGATAGTTTTGTTAACTAACGTTTTACAATTAACATATTATTCATATATAACTAAATAATCATAGAAAAAAATATTTAATAATGCATTTGTTTCAACATTCGATTGTGTGGTTCAATTGATAGTATATGTGGGTGTATGTGTGAAATTGTAGAAATTTTGTATTTTAAATTGCAATGAAAAATATTTTCAAATTGTTGAAAATATTATTACTAAATATTCGAAAGACTATGAGATAAAAGTGTTGAAAAGGATGTTTGAATTTTTCAATTCAATCGGATGATTGTTGTTTTGTTGAAATAGAGATGGTGGCAGTAATGTACGATGTAATTCGATGAAAAAAAGGACTTTTTTGACAATAATAAGAAAAATGTAGTGTTTAGTGAGTGAAGCAGTGGCTTCGCGTTGGAGTTAGTTGGTCCGTGTTCTCAAGGCCGCCTCGTCGAATCCTCTTGCCGCTCTGTCCCTTCCAGTATCATCAGTAGCGTCTCCTACTTCTTTTACAACAAGTTGCGTCTCCTTGCCCCTACCGCCATCTACTTTGCGTTTCTTTCCCCTCAACATACTTGGCACAACTCTCTTGACGCTGCGCACACTCTCTCTCCATCCTTTTATTCTTTCCTCGCGTCACTCTACCTCTTGGCATCTACATTTTCTTCCTCTTCGACACTAGGCTTCGGACTCACCTCAACTTTTAACTCTTACCTCCCGTTGTACCGCGGCACACTGGATCTGTGAGAAATCGAGTATTTAACCGAGCCATCGTCATGTACTAACTCCATTTGCTGTCAATAATAACGGAAAATTATTTCGTTTTAAAATATTTCAAGACTTGATATTTGCAAGCTTTATGAAAATGACGGTCCTCAAAAGTATTCATTTTCGTACCTGAGAGGAGGACAATGTCACAATTTCTGTTATTACCTGCGCCAAAGTAACGGCATTAAGTTGAGGATTTTACAGTGGTTAAAGTTAAGATCCTACCTAGTGTATGAAAGTTTCTTGGAAGTCATTTCAATTATTTTTCAAACCATATTCTCTACATATCTCACTACATTTTCAACTTAAAAATTATTCCTTTAACAGATATAAATATTATTTTTATTTGACATTATGATATTTATCATAAAAACCATACAGTTAATCAAAATTATAATTAAAAATATTGAATTAGAGATTAAGTCTATTTTCATGATGGTACTTTTTTTGTTTCACACATTATCTTACCACAAATCTCGTCCTTTCTTTCTCAGGCGTCTTGATCAGTGACCCTGAAAAAAGCCTCATATGTATATGAAACCGGTAACTCAATGTCACCATGACAATTTTTTCCATTATTTTATTTTTCAAAGATACCTCTTTTGAATATTTCTTCAACTTGGTCTGTTGTATGTAATAGTCATTTCAGTTGAACATGTTTTTAGAATGCTTTTCATAATATAAAGGATTTAAACTGTTTTGAGTCGAGTATCAAAGAGTATTGAATCAAATAGAGAAGGGACATGACTTGTCAGGCGATCAGTTAGAAACACGTAACCTAGTTCCGTATTTGGCGTCGCTCGAGGTGACTTAAAAAAAAACTCATCATGATTTTCTAACATCACCGTGTCACTATGTTTTCATTTATTTATATATATATATATATATATTTCTTCTAATGCATTATATACTTTAGATCCTTTCTCTTATATGTATATATATATATATATATTTTTAAAGATACATTTTATTATATGTCAATGTACGTAATAGTTTTTCTCCAATTATTTTTCATTTTCTAATTAAAAAATTCACATTTGTCTAGTGCATAATATATTTGTTCCAATATATAAATTTGGCAGTCATTGAAATAGTTACGTTTAGATCCTTGATGCTTTTATAATATATATCGTGGTATGGCGTTTTGTATAGGAGCTTTAACTATATTTAGAATGATAAAAATACCATCGTGCCTCCCGCATGACGGAGGCCTCCTGGCCCGCCATTTCTAATTTAAACACGCATAGTTTTACTGTGAAAACTATGCAAATAAATGTCCCATAAAATAAAATTTTTTTTTACAAAATATTTATTAATAAAAATCTTTGCTACTGTTGTTAATGATGATAATGATGATGATGGTACCAAGTTGTAAGTAGTAAATAACGATTATTATTGATACGATAAAAAAAGAATTTTTTACAATGAGATGTGTAGTAAACATTAATATCGTATGTTAAATGAAAGGGTAAAAAAAGTAGTAGAGAATAAAAGTGATGATAGTACTACACCTGTTCTCCACTCACCGTTTGTCACTTGAAAAGCACGTGTCAGTAAATTAACACTGACGTATATTGTATATATGTAATACGCGGTTTACAGTACCCACCACCATGTGATATCTTACTGTCTAACATACTCGCTGCTATACGTGTGTATATAACATGACATGCCTATTAAATAACACGCATGTGACACTTGTGGCAAGTGATATGTTCTTCTGACCTTCAATTAACTTTAACATTTTGTTGTTTTTTATTTCAATTTTCGCATCAACCATCTAACAATGTTTTTATTTATGACCGTCAAATGACGGTCTGTATTGTATATATTTATAAAAAGAAAGATACACGGAGGGGAAGATTTCGGCGTTCAAATTTGCCCAAAATATGGTATAAATTTTATCTTACCATATATAACTACATAAAAAGGGTAAAATTTTTTTATATTTTGTCTTTTGAGTAAATGTCTCAATCAGCGTTTGAAATGGATCGAGTCTTTATAAGGGTCGAATAATGTGCGTGTCTTGACTTGTTAATGCATTAATTACCGATAAAAAAGATTATTGAATTAGCAATGATTTAAGTTGAACTGGTACATCGGATAAATAGAATGTGTTTTGATGGGAATAGGAGTGTAGGTGAAGCTGAAGGTGGTTGTTGGGTCCCAAGTTGGTGGCGAATGTTGTCACATGCATATGCATGTACTTAGTATGTGGATTTATGCATGTATCTACACATTGGCAACACATAGACTTCGCTTAGGTGACTAGCATTGATCGTCACTATACTACCCCATGACATAACCCCTAATAATACATACTCCCCCGATCATCATCATCCACTACCACCATCACCTTCTCTCTTTCTTCTGACCACTCGTCTTTCGTCTCGCATATCCACCACTGTTCTCCGTCCTTTGCCAACCCAATCTGCGACTTCAGTGGCGCTCAGTTTTACCTTCTAGTTGACTCTAGTTTACTCTTCAAGTACCAGCTGGTCGTCAGCTGATTGCTCAGACCACCAACACCACCTTATAGCCATTAGCTACACAAACTAAACCCATTAACCCAAAGCTTCATCAACTTAATCGGTTAAAATCTACCCAACTACCTCACCTCCTATTTTATTCATACATTTTGATTATTGTCTCCAATCTTATAAAACAACAAACACTTTTTCAAATAGATCATTTATTGAAAAAAAAAGAGTCATATTTTTCTAAAATTTTCATTATATTAAATGAATGAAAAATATTATTAAATAGTATGAATGAGTTTAATTAATAGTAGGCGAAACTATCACAAAATAAAAATATACAAAACACATTTATTTAACCGAAAAAAAGAAACAAATAAATACACAGCACCTTAACATGACCAATCGGTCTGGCCTGACAGATCGTTACCTGTCCCCAGGAGGCACACGCCGTACTTTGGACAACCGGATATCAGACTTTACGAGCTCAACAAGAGGTTACAGCAGCGGACTGAGGTAAGCCAATGATAATTAATCAATTAAACTTCATTAATTAGTCAATCAATCAAATTTAATTAGCTTTAATTAGTTTAAATTACCATTCATTAAATGAATCAGTATTCATCTTACCATCATTTGGTACTTGACTCTGTCTTATCATTTTTTTCTGTTTTCTATTCTATCATATACATAGCTCAACTATATTGGAATCTAAGCATTTAATGTGACCAATTATTGCTTTATAAACCTTTAATCATATTTGAAATTAGTTTATATCAACATTTATCATATATTTATTGCACACTGTTGGAAGGGATTTATTACTTGTTAAAATGAATGATTTTTAACTGTTAAGAAATATTTCTTAACAGTTCATAAATCGAAATTCGCAACGCCACCTAACCTTATATCGACTAGAACTATCATATTCATCGATTCACCTTTTATAACCAAACTTTTGATCTTATCCATTTCGACAGTACCAAACTTAAATGCTCTATTTGTCATTGATAGAAAAATGCATGAAATTGAACTAAATCTTAATCTCATTTCGATATTATGTCATTCCATATTACTAAAATCATATAATCCACAATGAAATATGGATTATATTGGTATCATTATATTTCTTAACAGTTGATAAATATTTTTTGTACTAAGATAGGGATATGTTTAATAGATATTATTTTCAACTGCTAACAATCTCTTCTATCAATGCAACATCTAATATGAAAAATTGATACTCTTACCAAGATATCAAAATAGTTGAAAGATAGGGTTGGAATTAGCCCAAACATTGGTGAATACCCATACACACAAAAGTTAACGAAAATATTTTTAAAAAAATAGCTAAAAGATTAATGGGTAAGTGTGACATTCGCGGTCTTCCAAATCCTGTGGTCATTGGTTTGGATGTGGCAAGAGTCTAAACCCCTTCTTTTACCGCGGATTTGCTAGGGCCAACCTGACGTGTCACGTGCTCATAAATCATCTTTTCTCGCTCTACATCGTGTGGAGCATCTACTGTTGTGCCATATCCCATACTCGTGACTGTACATTACCAGAAGCATGTCCCACCGTGGAAAGGGACGACGTTTAAATCCTGTGGCTTTCGACCATTGAGTTGTTGGAAAAATTGAAATTAAAAAAAAAAAAAAAACTGTTTTTCCGATATTTTGTTTATGCTCACTGATAGAAGTCTAATCATGTATCAACTATTAAGCACAGTGTCTTTCCTTTTTGAATAGTTGACGAATATAATTGAACCAATACAACTGATACTTGATTGTGTTTTCATGTCACGATGCCATATGTTTATTTAATAAACCCACTAGATTTTTATCATTAAACTAATTGATTGACTGTGTTTAAGGTTATATTTGACTTTTGATCAATTGGAGGTTAGATGGCGCTGTGAGACGCACGTTTTGATTAATTGTCACGAAATATTTCTTAACTAAAAAAAATTCTAATTTGATTGTCATTGATATTGAAGCTCTCTTTAATATTGAAAAATATTTGTTAAAAAGAAATAAACAATATTTCATCACTCACAAATAATCAATAAATCTTAAATGAGTATTTTTCTTTTTATCCAACCTGTTAACAAATAGACTTGTTCGTCATAATGATTTATTTTAGTTAGCTGTTATTTTTGATGAGAGGGGGCATTTGATGATGACAAGATAGAAAATGGCATCTGTGATAGATATTTTGGAAAATTTAGCCGCGAGTCAAGGGAGGAAAGAAAGAACGTAAGAAAGAGAGATAGTAGTCAAGTTGTTTACAGGTTGTAATAGTGCGTAACAAAACAAACCGCCAAGTTGAGAACCTTCATGGGAGCCCGGGTAATAAAATGAGGGCCCCTGCCCTCCCTCGGGGGTGGGTCGTCTCCCCCCTCGATAACCCATATTGTACCCCTCCCCGCTCTCCTACTCTACTCCTTGTGTCTCCTCTCACCGGCGGCCCGCGGCCGTATATACTCCAACTAACCGAACCAGTTTTGTCCAGGTTCTAGGACGCCAAAGGCAAATAAACGACCTTCAATTGTTCTCGATGATATTTATGAAAATTCATCAAAAATGGTGGCCATAATCACATGATTTTTTACTTTATTTACATATTTTTTTCAAATTATTACAACTATTATTTAGATTTTTTATCGATTTTTACAGTTTATATTAGAGGTAGAATTAATGGACAATACTTTTACTGTCGTGTATATACACGATCATATACCACCCCTTAGTCTCCCTCACCCTCTCTCTCCTACCTACCTCTCTTTCTCTCTCTCTCTCTTTCCCTTCCTAACAACACTAGGGTGGTACAGTCTATGAGAAAAATTATTTCTCGTACATTCCACACTAAAAATATTACTCAACTATTTTACTTATTTTCGTTCATTATTTCATTATTATTATTCTTTTTTTCTCATCTATTTTTCACTCGAAAAACCAAATATTACTTTTACCAAACCATTTTTACAAATATTACAAAATATTTATTATTAATGTATTGTAATATTATGAAATTTAAATATTAAAACAAAATGATTATTTTAAAAAAATATCTTCATTTGATATATATGGAGATTTTCGATGAAACTTTGATGCCAATTATTGATTGTTTGTCAATTGACATTCCTTTGATCGATGATAGATAATGAGATGGAGAAAAATAGTAAAAAGACTAAAAAGTCGTATATAGAATCAGCATGGGGTTGATTGAGAAAAGAGAATGCAAAACAAAGTATATTTAGGGAGTAAGTAGAGGATGAGACCACACTACACACTGTAAAAGAGGGAAGGGTCAACGCAAACTTGCCAAAAATATCAATTTGTAATGCGGGAGTGGCAACAGTTTGCTTGATTTGGCATCAACACTAGATTAACTACGAAAAAAAATGATCAATTTAGTATTCAATATTATTTAAACTCATCTTACACTAATTTCTTTTACTTCATTTACTAAATTTTCCATCTCATCATTATTTACTAAAACTATTAATCATTTTTAAACATAAATAAAATAAAAAAAAAAATTAAATAATGTGTAATTGTTTACAGGAAAGTGATAATATTTGGTGGGATTCATTTGCAACGGAATTTTTTGAAGATGATGCAACTTTAACACTAGCTTTTTGCCTTGAGGATGGACCTAAAAGATACAGTATGTTATTATTATCATAATTTTTAATAATTAAATTAAGTAAAAACAAAAAAAAACATCATTTAATAACTTGTATTATTAATGTATGTAATATTGATTAAAACTCATTATTGATTATTTTTTCATCTTTTTTGTTTTGTGTAGCATATTTTTAATATCTATATTTTTTTTTATTTATAGCGATAGGAAGGACGTTAATACCTAGGTACTTTCGCTCGATATTCGAGGGCGGTGTCACAGAGCTTTATTATCATATGAAACATCCGAAAGAATCGTTCCACAATACAAGTATAACACTTGATTGCGAGCACTGTGTTATGGTGACGCATCATGGGAAACCTCCATTTATGAAGGTATTTTTTTTTTCTCGCACAAATATTCTCTATATGATTTATTTAACAAAATGATTTTTATTAAAAATCGAAAAAATTATGAATTTATAATAGGTTTGCACAGAGGGTAGGTTAATATTAGAATTCACATTTGACGACTTAATGAGGATAAAATCGTGGCATATGTCTGTAAGAACACATCGTGAATTAGTACCAAGATCAGTTGTGGGTATGCACACGGCACAGCAAGATCCTACTATGTTGGAACAATTAAGTAAAAATATTACAAGACAAGGCATTACTAACTCTACGTTAAATTATCTCAGGGTAAGCAAATTAATATTAATTTTTTGTTTTATTTTCATAAAAATTTTTCTTTTTAAAAATCCATGATTTTTGTATTACAGTTATGTGTAATTTTGGAACCAATGCAAGAACTAATGTCGAGGCATAAAGCTTACGCATTATCACCACGTGATTGTTTGAAGACAACGTTATTCCAGAAATGGCAGAGGATGGTTGCGCCGCCGGGTAAGAGAGGTAGAAAGACAGTTGCTTTACATGAAAAAAAAAAAAACCAAATAAACATGTACAAAATATCTATTGAATGAATAAAATAAAAATAATAACTAAAATATAAGTAGGAAACAAATTGAAACAAAGACAAAACAAAGACGTAAAGTATCTGTCTTCTTGTCTATTGTGTGAATGCATGTTAAAAATAAAATTAAAAATTAAAAATGATTTATCAACTAATAATAATAATATAAATAAGAAAGGTGGTAATAATCATGAGTACAAAAAATTATATAATATAGATTAATTTATTCATTAATAATATATATATATATATATATATATATATATATATATTAGAGAAAAGAGAAATATTTACATTAATAATATATTTGGTTAATTATCTCATTAATATTATAGTATCAAAAAATAAACGAATAATTAGTATAACGTTTAGTAATGATGATTTTTTGTTTAATCTTCAATAGAATCACAAAGACCTGCTAATAAAAGAAGAAAGCGAAAAGGCAGTACGTCAGGACCAGGAAATAATGCTCCACCAGCTCCAAGTAAAAAGCGTTCACCTGGACCAAATTTTTCGCTAGCGTCACAGGCAAGTTTGAAATTTTAAATTTACATAAATAATATAATCATTTTTGTCAATCAAATTAAACAATTGTAATAAATATTTTAATTTATTGATTAGGACGTAATGGTAGTTGGTGAACCATCTCTTATGGGTGGAGAGTTTGGAGAAGAGGATGAACGACTGATAACTAGGCTAGAAAATGCACAATATGATGCATCAAACAGTTTGGATCCTCATGGACATGATACAACAGGAGGACCCCCACCACATCCACATCAATTTCACTCAGAACCAACACCTGGTAATTCTTGGCCTCCTGATCGTGGTCCAGGACCCCCACCGGGTGGTCCTGGTAGTCAAGTTAGTAGCTGAACAACTTTTTTCTTCTTTTATTAAACAATCAAGTTATTATAAATTCTGAAAGTTACAAAATAAAAATATAATAAATTATTAGATATTAATTTGAATATTCTAGGGTGTCCAAGGTAATCAAGGTGGTGCAGGTGGAGGTGTTCAAAATACACAGGACACAAATCAACAACAGCAAGACAAAAAAAGCCCCGCGGTGAGCCAGTGAGGCCAGGAGTCCCCGCGCCCCCCAACAAGGGGGCGGCGGGGGCGCAGGCCCAAAAATGTGGCTCCCTAGCGGGGCGAGAATTTTAACATTTCACCTTCCTCTTCTTACTTCATGCCCATTAATAATTTACATTATTTACAACAACAACTACAACAACAACAACATTTGCAACGACAGTGTCAACAATTGCATCAGATTCACAGTAATAATGTAACACCATTAACAACAAAAATATCAACATCATCAATAGTACCAACAACTTCAACTGTATTACCGACAGAAACTGCTACTCCATCGGTATTATCAATTGTTCCAGATTCATCAACAATGTTAACAACGGTTGATAATATTTTGAGTATTAACAGTCTGCATTACCGACAGAATTTAACAAATAATAGTGATATTAATAAAAAAATTCATAATATTAATAATGATAATACCAATTCTGTCGGCAATAATGATTTTGTAAAATCAATTCTACCGATCGTTGATAACTCACAAGAACAATATCAAAAGAAACAATCGCCAATTGTTGATAAACAATTAATGAAAAAAAATAATAGTGTTAATGATAATGGTAATAATACTATTGATAACAATAATGATAATATTAATAGTAATAGTAATAGTTATAATAATAGTAATAATAATATTAATAATAATAATAATAATAATAATAATAATAATAATAATCGTAATAATATAATAAATATTAATAAAAATCATAATGATAATAGTAATAATGATAATATTACTAATGATAACAACAATCATGTTTTAATGAATCTGCCACATCAACAACAACAACAACAACAACAACAACAACAACAACAACAACAACAACAACAAGATCCGATACAGAATATGTTACAACAATTGTTGTATTTACAACGACTAGATTATTTTTTAAATCAACGTGGAAATATTTAAAAAAAGGTCTTAATTGTGTATGATATTCAAAGAGAAATTTTAAAAAAATATTTCATATTACTTTTAATTTTTCAGTGTTGCAAATCTGCTGTTTTGCTCATCAAATTTTTTTAATTTAATTTATTTATCATTCTTTCTTTTATCTCTTCAATTAAGAAATTCACCTAAAAAACTATAAATATTTTTACAGTTATTAAATAATTGTGTACACATTCAGATTTATAAGTTGGTATGTTTTTGAATCTACATTCGATTAAAAAATAAAAAAGATATTTATTAACACAATTAAACAACAAATGACGAAATAATCAAATAAGAATGCAAAAGTTTATTGATTCATAATAATGAAATTTATGATGAGAGTACAAATGATTTTTTGAATAAATACATGTTTATTTTATTTTTTTATATATAAAAATTATTTAAAAATTTAAGATGCTGTCGGTAATGCAAAGCCATAGATTACTATTTAATTTTACTGTCAGTTGGTATATAAAAAAATATTTTGTAACTTTACAAAATAATAGGCAGAAAGTCACCGAATTATTATACATAAAAGTTGTGATGCAAATAGAGACCAAATGAATATTTATAAAAGGAAAATAAAAAAAAAAGAACAGGATTCGATCAACTGCAAATGAAAAAAAGAAAAGTACAATTAATGAAAATTGAAGAAGAGGAAGAGGAAATAAATGAAATCAATATGAAAAAATTGAGAAAAGAAAAAAAAATAGTAAATCATTAGGAAAATAAACAACAGTAAATAATAAAAACAATCAGTATATTAAGAGGTCAAAAATGAAAAAATATATAATGAATGTAATGAAAGTGAAGTTAAACACGGCAGTTTTGAAGTGAAAAAAAAAGTTAAAATCTGTAATAAATAAATAGATAAAAGTTATACAATGAGGTAATAAATGGTAGAATGAGTAACTAATTGACAAGTATGAGAATAAAATTTCAAACAAGAAAATATGAAGTTTAATGAATGAATGAATAACAGATGATAAATAAATAAAATAATTAATTGATAAATAAATTGAATAAAGAATATGTCTAATTGCTCTTGCTCCAGCTGTGAATGAATCTCTATCCGTCAACAGTATTGATTATCGATATAATAATTAATTAATTAATTGAAAGCAACTAAATAATGATTGAACGAAAAACAAATATTATTATTATCATTGTCATTACAATTGTTAATTATTTAAAATTAAATCGACAAATCATTGTAAATTGTATCATTTAGAAAAAAAATTACGATTATTATTAAATATTAGTATTATTATTTTATTATTACTGAAAATAGAAAACAAAATAATTAAAAGCGTGTATAATTGAAAACAGAAGTAAATTCGTTAGAAAATTAATTAATTAATTATAAATATTAAGTATGATATAATGTGTAATATGTAATTTTTAATGTAATTTAATAAGATAAACATAAAAAAACCAATTGAAGGTGTAATATGTAATTACATGATATGTAAATGTTCAAATTTTTAGGGTAGAATTTTCAATTCCCCTCTCCCCTCCCCCCCAAACTTTCCAACTAAATAATAACTAAAAATCAATCAACTAAAAGAACCGTGAATATAAATAACACATAAATGAAAAAAATAAAAGTTAAGTAAGTTTGTAAATGCATGTTGAATGTGAATGCTAAATGACTGAATGTCGTGATTAAATTTCACAATGAATTATTATACAAACTACAAACTTAATTCCAAATTACACAATGGTTATTATTATTATTATTATTATTATTATTATTATTATTATTATTATTATTATTATTATTATTATTATTATTATCATTATCATTATTAGATTTATTTACTAAAAAAATTAATTTATTTGTTAAATTAAACAATATTTAATTTTCTTTACATTTTAAATTATATTTAAATTAAAGAATAAAATAATTATTGAAGAAAATTTAACTTAAAAAATTATATAGTTATTATTATCATTATTATTTGACTATCATTTTTTCATCAATACATCGAGTCATCTTAATGGATAAACGATGTTGCTTTATGATTTATTGGTCAAATTTTATTTGGGATTGATTTATTTGAAATATCATGTGTATGATAAAAAGTTAACTAAACATAAAAACATGAAAAATGCAAATAAAGAAAATTGTATAAAATTATTAATATTATTTTTTTTTTTCATCATTATTATTATAAATTAATAAATATAATGATTGTAACAATTGAGAAAAGAAAAAAGAGCAAAAGACACGAGTATAGTTGAATAAAATCAACACTAAATGTTAATATTTTTTTGAATATTATTGTCAATGAAATCTATTGAAATTAGTTATTATCATTTTTTATATTTATAAAAATTAAAATATTTTACAATGATATACATGGTGATAATTTAAAGCAACTATGGTGAAATGAAGATGGAATATTCATATTCATTATTAAATTAAAAGATAAAAAAAAATGAAAATAATAAAAAAAAATTCACAAGTAAGTCATAGGAAATTTTTAATTGTTAGTAAAAAATAAAAATAATAAAAAAAAATTTTTTTCGTGATTTATTTCATTATTGTGTCAATCACTTTTCTTATTGTCTTTTCTTTTTTATATTTAGTGGTGAAAATTTAAAATTATATTAGTTTCAAATTTGCACAATAAAACTGTAAAAATATTTACGGTTATTCTTGCGACTTGTATGCAGAAAGCGGTCATCCTCAGGTGGGTCGGAGCCCTCGGATCCCTGGCCAGATACATTTGACAAATAGCAAAATAATAATAATAACAATAATAATAATAATAACAATTGTAATCATAATAATACTGTGATTTTATTATCGTAGTTTTTCTAAAATTAGCACGAAAAATGATATTTAAATTCAACAACATTCCCGCTCTACGTATAATATTTAATTGAAAACTCATAAATATGTCCGTCTTTTATTTAATCATATTTTTTACTCTTCTTTCGGAAAGTAATTAAATTTTTTTTTAATAATCAAAATAATTAAATGTCAAAATGTTAATTAATTAAAAATTTAGATTTTTTTCGACTCGACAGTTTCACAGAAGTTTCCGGATGTTTCTATGCATTGCTCTTTTCTCTTGAAAAACACGTGACAAAAAGTGACTTACAATTGGTTAATTCAATACTAAAAACAATTCTATTGGCCCCAGAGTGTCTTCCATTTGTGACATGCGTATTAAACCACGGTGTATCAAGTATTTAAGCTAACCATTGCATCATACACGTGAGAACGAACGTAGAAACAGCGTTTCCGGCGTAGTTGCTGAATTTTCGTGTAACACGAGTTCTTTAGAGTTGCCGAATCAAATAAAAGAAGTAATTATCAAGTTTTTTGACAGACACAATCGATAAACAATTAATTGGAGTACAAGAATATTCAAAATGTTGGCTGTGTCAAGATTATTGTCACAAAGATGTATGGGAGTAAGTCATGACGCTAAACGACGACATTTTAGTACAATCCTCAGAAACGTGAGTACATTTAATTCTTTAAAAATAGATATTATTTTACAACAATCACCATTAATTATACACTTTTAATCATTTCCTATCCATTTTTACTTTAAATATGTATATACAACAACTCCATGTTTCATTATATTTATAGAAATATAAGTTATTTTATTTTTTATTAATTTTTTTAAATAAATAACTTTTTTTATGTCTAAATAATGAATTTATTAATTTTTATGATGCATTTAACGTATGCTAAAATAATTATAGTATTTTATTGTTCAAATATTAAGTTATTATTAAATAAATTATTTTAGGTTATCTATTTTTACTGTTCATAAATAAAATGCTATTTATTCTTTGTTTTATTAAAATAATAATTTTATACTATCTGAAATTATTTAAATTACTCTAAAATTAAAAAATGGCATACACCAAAGAGCTTATTATTAACTAGCAAATCAATTCCATAAGATTCAATTATAGTTTTTTGTTTTTTTTTTTTCCCAACTATTATCACATTAGATACTGATTATACAGATTGTTTTATTTATTTATTTATTTTTTATAACTAATAATGAATCTTCTCATTCAATTTTCCTAGGTTAGGATTGCATCTTCTCGCGTAATATGTTATTTTAAATACTTCATTCAATTATGTCCTCAATTAAAGTTCGAAATTAATGTGTAATTTCAGTTATTTTATGTAATTAATCATAAATATATAAAGATATTGATTTATTTTTCAGTCTATCGCACCAACGTTATACGTACCGCAAAGACAACATGAAATTCAATATCGATACAAGTAAGTTATTCAAATTAAAACTCATCTAAAAATTTATTCGAATTGATTTATCACTCTGGTTAGGTCTGATGGTGTCAAAGGTGCAGTCATTGGTATCGACTTGGGAACAACATTTTCATGTGTTGCGGTTATGGAAGGAAAACAAGCTAAGGTTATTGAAAATGCCGAAGGATCAAGAACTACACCATCTTATGTTGCTTTTACAAAAGGTATATATAAAACTATTCATTGATTTGGAAAAAACAAAACTAATTAATAATGTTCCTTAAGAGGGTGAACGACTTGTTGGTATGCCCGCTAAAAGACAAGCTGTTACCAATGCTTCTAATACATTTTACGCCACAAAACGATTAATTGGTCGACGATTTGATGATGCTGAAGTCAAGAGAGAAATGTAATTAATTTATTAACATATTAATATAAAATTTTATTCATTTTTATTAATTATAATATTTTTTAGGAAAACTGTGTCATATAAAATAGTGAAAGCGTCGAATGGTGATGCATGGGTGCAAGGTGGTGATGGAAAAATGTACTCTCCAAGTCAAATAGGAGCTTTTATTCTGATGAAAATGAAGGAAACAGCAGAAGCGTATTTAAATACTCCAGCAAAAAATGCTGTTATTACTGTACCAGCTTATTTCAATGATTCTCAACGACAGGCCACCAAAGATGCTGGTCAAATTGCTGGTTTGAATGTTTTGAGAGTCATCAATGAACCCACAGCAGCTGCGTTAGCGTATGGCATGGATAAAACTGACGATAAAATGTGAATATATTTTTTGAAAATGAATTTATCTTATTCTTAAATCCTATTTTTATCATGATGTTGATTATTTTTCGTCTCTGAAGTGATGAAAATCATGTTGAATATATTTTTTCTGATTATTCGAGTTATTAAATTAATATAATTTACAACAATTGAACATAAAATTAATTTTGATCAATGATTGATATTTTTTTAGCATCGCCGTCTATGATTTAGGAGGTGGTACCTTCGATATTTCAATTCTCGAGATACAAAAAGGTGTTTTTGAGGTTAAATCAACTAACGGAGACACGTTCTTAGGAGGTGAAGATTTTGATAATGCTCTAGTAAATTATCTTGCTTCTGAGTTCAAAAAAGATCAAGGAATCGATGTGACCAAAGACACGATGGCTATGCAACGTCTTAAGGAAGCATCGGAAAAAGCTAAAATTGAATTATCAAGTTCACTTCAAACTGACATCAATTTACCTTATCTAACGATGGATGCTGGTGGACCGAAACATCTAAACTTGAAATTGTCACGCAGTAAATTTGAAAGTTTAGTTGGTGATTTAATCAAAAGAACTGTCCAACCATGTCAAAAAGCTCTTTCTGATGCTGAAGTATCGAAGAGTGATATTGGAGAAGTTTTGTTAGTCGGTGGTATGACACGTGTACCGAAAGTACAAGCAACGGTTCAAGAAATTTTTGGTAGACAGCCATCGAGAGCTGTTAATCCTGATGAAGCTGTAGCTGTTGGCGCTGCTATTCAAGGTGGCGTTTTGGCTGGAGATGTTACAGATGTTCTATTACTTGATGTCACACCATTATCACTTGGTAGAGTATCAATAATTAATCCATCTATTTAAACTACCACTCGAATATTTTTTTATCAATGATGTTTGTAAAATTCTAATCTTCTCTCTGAGCTTAAAAGATGAATATCGAGATAACTGAGGAAAAATGTCAATTTTTTAAATAATAATTCTTTCTTTTTGCGAACAATTGTGGACAGGGTTTTTTAAAAAAATTTTTTTTCAGGTATTGAAACTCTTGGTGGTGTCTTTACACGTTTAATCTCTAGAAATACAACAATTCCAACCAAAAAGAGTCAAGTATTTTCCACCGCAGCTGATGGCCAGACTCAAGTAGAAATCAAAGTCCATCAAGGAGAACGTGAAATGGCGTCAGACAATAAACTTTTAGGACAGTTTACTCTAGTAGGAATTCCACCAGCACCACGAGGAGTTCCTCAAATCGAAGTCACTTTTGATATCGATGCCAACGGAATTGTCCATGTATCAGCTAGAGACAAGGGAACTGGTAAAGAACAGCAGATTGTTATTCAATCGAGTGGTGGATTAAGTAAGGATGAGATAGAAAATATGGTGAAGAATGCTGAACAGTATGCCAAAGAAGATAGAATAAAAAAAGATCGTGTCGAAGCTGTTAATCAAGCTGAAGGTATTGTTCATGATACTGAAGCTAAAATGGAAGAATTTAAAGCACAGTTACCACAAGAAGAGTGTGACAAATTAAGGGATTTAATTAGTAAAGTTAAGGACACATTACTAAGAAAAGATGAAATGGACCCAGAAGAAATCAAGAAACAAACAAATGAATTACAACAAGCTAGTTTGAAATTATTCGAAATGGCATACAAAAAAGTAAGTCATTTTGACAGCCGTTTAGTTCATTTTTCGATGAAAACCAACTCTAATTTTTATTATACTATTATATTTAATAATAAATATTTATTAATAATTTTTTTGTTCCAAATTATTAGATGGCAGCAGAACGTGAAGGACAGAATCAAGGCTCACAACAACAAGATGCTAGTGAACAACAGGGAGAACAAAAGAAGGAGGAGAAGAATTAAATATTGAATTATTACATTAGAAATTTATATAAAAATAATGTTAAAAAAATGGCATAAAAATCCGTACATTCTCTCGTTAAGTTTTTTATTTCTCTTTTCTTTTTTAAATAAAAAAAAATAAACAAAAAAATAAGCCGAAAGGGAAAATATTTCCTATTTTCTTGTATTGCTAATTTACATAATTTGTAGTTTCTTTTTGTACTTGAATGAATCTAGTGAAACGAAATAATTAAGTTCGTTAATTGTTAATATTAAGTCGTAAATATAATGTTTGGATAATGAACGCATAAGACTTAGTGTAGATGATGATATAATACGATTATCAATAAGACCAAGAAAATAGAAAAATAAATTTTCTTTTTATTATGAAAAATGGTCACCAATAAAATGCTATTTTACGTTGGATAATCATTTTATTTATAAGTAAGCAGACAAAGAATAAATACATTTATATTCAGAAAATAATATTTTAACAGAAATAACAATTATGTACATTGTGTATATATATACAATATATATATATATATTATACTTAATGAAAATTTCTAAAAGATAAATAAACAGCAAATAAAACTTTATTCTGACTAATCGTTATTTCAAGTTAAAAAGCAAGGTTTGTGTTCTTGATTTGTCAGTTGAGATTAATTGACAATAAATTATTGATTACTTCGAAACAATTCACCAGATGTCTTCATATTTTATCACGTTACACTAAATAGTATTAGTGTAAAATATCATCAATTTTCCGTTAAAAAAACAAAATTCATCGATTCCATAGCTTTCACTGATTATTCAGGAATCATTATTGAATATTGTATTATTCCGAATGATGTAGTTTTTGATTTGAAAGCCAACGGTCTTGTTTCCGTCATAGAAGTAAATAATGTAGACAAAGTAAATGGTTTAATCAACTAGTTTTTTAAAAAAGAACATCTAAATGCTTCTGGAGATTTATTTTTTGACGTCGCAGAAGCTGTGATGAATAGAAAAGAATACTCTTGGTCTATAAAAGTATTAGAACCTATGATAAACAGTAAAAATTGTAGTCTAGTTGTCGTTTGGTTGCAATATGTTAAGTGTTGGGTAGGATGTCACAAAGTTTTTATCTCAACTTTTAGAAGCAAAACTTCAATTATTAACACTCTACAAGTGTATAAATTTCTATGATTGTGCTGTAGATATTTTAAAATGAGACCTTGATACTGATGTAACTTATCTTGATGCTTTCTATTGCAAAACAATACTTCTGTACAGAGAAGAGAGACTAGCATAGAAGTCCAATCCTGGGTTAAAAATCCGGACCATGGAGAATATAATAAGGAAACCGCACTGACGTTGGGGAAGTAGGCAAAATAAGCAAAGAATACTGTATTCTTTGAAATAAGTACAGTACCGGACATAAATGCTGTTTAATTTTTTGAAGGTTATACATGCAATTTCCCTATACTGTCCTATAGAAAATCACATAGCATTTATGTCCGGTACTGTATCAAAAAGTAGAGTTGTAGGGTAGTACATATATGTAATACTCCTACATTGCTAGTCGGTATAGGGAGGGAGACTTAAGCATTACGGTGCAGACATATATGCGTTTGTCTCACTTATTATACGCTGCGACTTGTGCGCATGATCGTGAATGGAGTGTGCGCATTAGATAGCATTTTAATTTGTACAAGGAATGAGATAGCATCCTTTGCAAATAGAATAGCGTCTGTTTTACATATAAAATAGCGTCTGTTTTACATACTACATCCAATTTTTTATATATTTTAATTGACTTCATTACTTATCAATTCCCCATTTTTTCTAAAATGCCTGTTTCAAATATGTTGTTCATTTGAATGAAGCTGCTTATAAGAAGTAGAATATGCAAACTTCATTTTAAAAAAATAAAATAAAATCTTTTTTCATTAACAAAGAAAAAAAACATTCCTATTTGTAAATTGTTGAAAATTAATTTCAGAGCTCATTAATGCTACATTTGTTAGAAAGTAAACTTTTAAATTATTAAATAAAGATATTTAAAACCCAATAGCTTGTATACTATTTATAATTATCATTATCACATTTTAATTGTATTTAGTGATTAATAATTGTCATAAAAATATAAACAGGAAAAAAAAATATTTTTTAAATTAATGATCATGATTATTTATTTATCATCATCACATTTATATATAATTAAAAAATAGGAGAGCAATGTTAACTATTGTGGTGATGTACAAAAGTGATTAGTATGTAGTTTGTAAAATCTAATACAAAAATAATAATTTAAAGGAACAATAATTGACTTAATTATTATTTTTTGCATTTATTACATGTTATTTTATTACTGTGGATGTTGAGTCAAACTCAAGGAGTTGGGGCAGCTTGGGGAAAAGACTTTAAAATTTTAATTCTCCAAATACTTTCAATTGTAATTTTTATAAAACAAGTTAATTTGTACTGGTATTTAAAAATATTATTTATAGTCATCGAATTGAATTAGGATTATTGAACAATAAAAATTAATTTGTTCTTACAACTTTAGATTATTTTATTTATTATAAATTTATTTACAAAGAAATAATATATAGATATACCTTTGAAATTAGATATTAAATTATTATATATAAATGATTTAATTATTATATATGTTTAAACAATTATTAATTGAAGTTATTCTACTAATAATAATAATAATAATAATAATAGAGAAAAGAAAAGAATGAAGAGATTTGAACACCCGAGACTCACTGCCGGAGTCGGGAGCTTTACCGCTAAGCTAAAAAGCATACAAAATTCAATTTACCATAACTTACTTTTAAGTTTTGAAAGAGAGGTGACTTGCCCTTCTCCAATTGCCAATTCTCCCTCTACGGTAGTGGCGCTTGCGCACAACAGTTCAAATGAAAAGAAAGAGACAGAAATATTCATTTTCTGTCTCACTTCATAGGCCACGCGCCCACTTACGGGAACTAGCAATATAGGAGTATTAGATATATGGACATATGGGGTAGTACACAGAAACGCAACAAGCGGCGCTGGCATCAGGAAGCGTCGAAATAAAAAAGAAGAGAGGGCATATAAGGCGGAGCATCATAATTGAGAGGAGGAGGAGCATGAAGACAGAAAGTGGTTCCCTCTGAGGGACCGAACTCGAAGCAAAATAAAAAAATAATAGAATTGAATTGAATACAAAATAATCTGAAATCAACTCCCTGCGTAGAAAAAAAAATTGTTCAGAAAAGTAATTTAAGAAAAACAAGAAATTGACGATTGCGAACATCAATAAAAAAAATGGAATTTTAATGACTATATTGAATATTGGAAGGGACAGTTAGTGAACGCTGATTTGACCTTTTAGCGTCCAGCTTTTCGTCTCGCTGTAATTTTGGAGGAGACGCTCTTATGAAAAAATTCCGAACTCATCGATTAAATTAACAATACTCGACTATTGAACATTTGTAGTTGTTAATAAAGAAAAAAAATACATTTCTATGACTATTTTGAATATCTAAAGGGACAGATAGCGAGCGCTGCTTTGACCTTTTAGCGTCCAGCCATTCTGTCTTGCTGTACTTTTGAAGCAGACGCTCTTTTGAAAAAATTCCCAACTCATCAATTTAATTAACAATAATCGTCTATTGAAGAACTGTAGGAATAAAAATTGGCAGACTAATAAAGAACAGTCTGATCTGTAATCCTGCCCAACTAAAATAATTAAAAACCGTGAATCGACCTCGCGGGCGATTATGAGAGCATCAATTTTAGAGAAGAAGGTACAGAAAACATGCTTTTTGTAGCTTCTAGAATCTGTAACTTTCTTCAATATCGATATTAAGGAATAAAAATTGGCAGACTAATAGAGAACAGTCTGATCTATGACCCTGTCTGATAAAAATCATTCAAAACCGTGAATCGACCTCGCTGCAGATTTTAGAAGGTGAAAAAGCATGGTTTCTGTACCTTCTTCTCTAAAATTGATGCTCTCATAATTGCCCGCGAGGTCGATTCACGGTTTTCAATCATTTTAATCGGACAGGATCATAGATCAGACTATTCCCTATTAGTCTGCCAATTTTTATTTCTTAATATTGATATTGAAAAAAGATACAGATTTTAGAAGGTGAAAAAGCATGTTTTCTATACCTTCTTCTCTAGGCTGTCTGGCCTCAACTGATGTGGGCGGATCTACCACTGTCGCGCTTTAATTTTCTTATCCCTCTCTCTTTTTCTATTCTCCCACTTGTTTCAATTTTTCTGACGCTTCTTGACATCAGCGCTGCCCGTAGAATTTAGGAGAACTATCCACCAACTCTACTTTTAGTACCAAAATCCTATCCCTGAGCTCGGCCTCCTTATTATATTCTCCCTGGCTCTCGAACTTTTATACTGGTCTCTCTTCTCTGTCGCTGGCGTAAAATCTGGGTTGCGCGTAAACGTTTTAACAAACTTTTGTTAACACCGATGTTTAGTCTGCGCGTAAACATCATAAATTTCCAAATATTCTCTCTGAAATCAACGCACTTATCTTGTATTGAGTACAGTAGCCATCTTGGATGTGTTAATCAAGCATTTTAACAAAATAAATGTGACAAGTTCATTGATGTCAAAAATCAATAACAATTGACGTGAGCTTGAGTAAAATTAACTTAATAAAGTACTTGACTTAGTTTCATGATAACAATGGGTGATGCAAAATCATTTTTACATCAGTGGTGTGCAAAGAATGGCAAGGAGCCATTGTTTGAAGTGCGACCTACAGGTTAGTATAAAATATTTACCAATACTTGTATGCAAAACTAATGGCATTATAATCTTATGTTCATTTCAAATAATATTCAGGGCCAAAACATCGTCAGCGATTTCTCTGTGAACTTCGAGTGACAGGTTTTGATTACGTTGGAGCAGGAAACTCTACAACAAAAAAAGAATCTCAAGGGAATGCATCAAAAGACTTTATTAGTTATTTAGTACGCACAGGTCATGTAAATGCCAATGACGTACCAACTGATGTATCAACAGTTCAAGAGCCTACCGAAAGTGCCCCTCCGGATATAGGGGTACCTAGTACTCCTCAAAAATCAGTATTCCAGGATGGACTTGGTCCCAATGACATCGGACAAGCTTATAGACCATACAACGACCGTGGAAGAGACAATTACACTTATATCGATCGAATAGCTGAACAAAAAAAAGTCGAAGAAGCTGAAGATGTTGATGTTAATTCTAGTATTCATGGAAACTGGACTATTGAAAATGCTAAATCAAAGTTACATCAATTTATGCAAAGTAATAAGATCAATACTGATTATAAGTATACTCCTGTTGGTCCAGATCATACTAGGTACGATGAAGGAAATCTATCTTTGTTTCATTTCAAAAAGTATTGTGTTGGTGAAAAGTTCACTTTGGAGTACACCAGAATGATAACCCACATTAATGCTAATTCATGAATACGTCTAGTACACATGAATTATCTCGTATAGAAGTTTGATATTAACCAAAGCTCTTATTGAAAATGATTCAATATTAGCATTGGTGCCTTTGGATTGATCGTTTGTGTACTTCAAGGTGGTCTTGGATCAAATTTATCGGTAAGTTTTTTGTTTTCTTGTCTTAACTTTCTGAGAAAAAATAATGAAAACTTTGTTTGATCTCATTTTACTTTTAAATGTTAGCAATAGTTATATTTTGAGTAGTGCAAGTATTGTGTAATTTTTTATAAACATCATGTAAACTATACAAAGTTTAAAAAAACGTTTCGAACAAAAATTGTAGATCTTCAAATTTTATACAAAAGAGATGTCAAGATTTTATCTTCTATCTCTTATAGTTTAGTTGTAAAATAGTAATAAAGATTGGAAAATTGTTAAAATTATCATTTTATAGCTAAACAATGAGCAATAGAGGATAACTTTTAAGACCATTTTCTAGTGTAAAATATGAAGATTAACAAGTTTTGTTCGAAACATTTGTTGTTTAATATTGATCAAATTATTATTTTTTCTCAGTTAAATATCCAATTTCTCAACAACAACGTTGGAAAAAAATAATCAGAACAGATATTCTATCGTTTTCTCAGGAGTTTCGTTGCGGAAATGACGATATATGTGAAACAGTTAGGCAGGAGTAAGTATTAATTTTCCAATTACTTAGCTCAAAATAATTCCTCATATTACTATTTCAGATATAACTGGACATGAAACTGGATCAAATAAGCAATCTGCATCAAAGAGCTGTGCTTTATCCATTGTTCGTCAACTGTATCACTTGGGAGTGATTGAAGCATTCTCTGGAACATTAAAAAAGCCAAAAGATGCTGAACAAATGAAATCATACTCTGTTAAAATTTCACCAGAATTAGCAAGTGAAGTGGAGGAACTTTTAGAATCTCTAGAAATAAAACCAGTTAATGTTAATACCGCTGAAGTAAAAATAGATACTCCAGATCAAAAAGCCCTCGGAATGTCTTTGATAACAGATCATGTTCTTGATGACTTCATTTCTTCAGTACCTCAACCGACCGGAGTTGTTTCTTGGTCTCCACCACAGGCCAACTGGAATCCTTGGATTGGATGCAACATTGACGAAGGTCCTTTGGCTACAACATCATTAGAGAAATTATCCCAGGAGATGGTATTACAGCAACGTGAGAGACTTCAGCAAGATCAACAGCTTCAACAAAGCATGAAAGAAAGAATGAACTTACCAGTATATGCGAAGAAGGGTGAAATCATGCAGGCAATCCATGACAATCCAATTATCATCATCCGAGGAAACACTGGATGTGGAAAAACTACTCAAGTATGTCAGTTTATTCTTGATGACTATATCAACTCTAGACAAGGAGCTGAATGCAGCATTGTTGTAACTCAACCTAGGAGAATTTCAGCCATTTCTGTTGCTGACCGTGTTGCAGCTGAAAGATGTGAAAATCTGGGACAAAGTGTTGGATATTCTGTGAGATTTGAATCTCTTCTGCCGCGTCCTTACGGAAGTATTCTCTTTTGTACTGTTGGTGTCCTGTTGAGAAAGTTAGAAGGTGGCTTGAGAGGTGTCTCTCACGTCATAGTTGATGAAATCCATGAAAGAGACGTCAACTCTGACTTCATTATGGTTCTCCTCCGAGATATGGTTCACGTTTACCCAGATTTGAGAGTTATCTTAATGTCTGCTACGATAGACACAACTTTATTCAGTGATTATTTTAATAAATGTCCTGTCATTGAAGTTCCAGGAAGGTCTTTTCCAGTGCAACAGTATTTCCTTGAAGATTGTATTCATCTAACGAAATTTGTTCCTCCAGTAGACTCGAAAAAAAGGAAAAACAGAGACGAAGACTTGCCTGATACAGAACCTGAAGAGAATCTAAATCGCATTATTAGCACAGAATACAGTGAAAGAACTAAAAACGCGATGGCACAGATGTCGGAAAAAGAAACAAGCTTTGAACTTATCGTGGCTTTGTTGGAGTATATTAAAAACCAGCAAATTCCTGGTGCAGTTTTAATTTTTCTGACAGGTTGGAATTTGATTTTTGCACTCATGAGACATCTTCAACAACATCCAGTTTTTGGAAGTTCACAATATGTCATCATTCCTCTTCACTCTCAATTACCCAGAGAAGATCAACGCAAGGTATTTGAGTCTGTTGCGCCAGGAGTAACAAAGATCATTTTATCCACAAATATTGCAGAGACCTCTATCACCATCAATGACATTGTTTACGTTATTGATTCCTGTAAAGCAAAGATGAAGCTTTTTACTTCTCACAACAACATGACGAACTATGCCACAGTGTGGGCATCTAAGACAAATTTAGAGCAACGAATGGGCCGTGCTGGTAGAGTGAAACCTGGATTTTGTTTTCATCTTTGTTCCAAAGCGAGATTCAATAAAATGGACCAACATATGACTCCAGAAATTTTCAGAACTCCTTTGCATGAGTTGGCTTTGAGTATAAAACTGCTGCGTTTGGGAAGCATTGGAAAATTTTTATCCAAAGCAATTGAACCTCCACCAATTGATGCTGTAATTGAAGCAGAAGTGATGCTAAGAGAAATGAAGTGTCTTGATTCTAATGATGAGCTCACACCTTTGGGAAAGATTTTAGCAAGACTACCTATAGAACCGCGACTTGGAAAGATGATGATTCTTGGCTGCATGTTTAGAGTTGGTGATGCTTTGTCGACCATGGCAGCTAACAGCACCACCTTCCCTGAAGTGTACAACCTCAGTCCTGACATGCGACGACTTACTTCACAACAGAAATGGTTCGCTGGGGCTAGATTTAGTGATCACGTGGCCATGCTTCATGCATTCCAAAGTTGGGAAGATGTGAGAGCGCAGGATGAACAAGCTGGAGAAAATTTTTGTGATGCTAAAGGTCTTAGTTTACCAACATTGAGGATCACATGGGAAGCTAAGCATCAATTACAAGAGTTGCTCCAATCTGCGGGCTTTCCTGAAGAGACTTTGTGTCCTACACCTCTTAATTATCAAGCTGGGTCCGATATGCGGTTAGATACCATCACAGCTCTTCTATGCATGGGTCTTTATCCCAATGTTTGCTATCACAAAGACAAGAGAAAGGTACTAACAACTGAATCCAAAGCTGCTTTGATCCACAAAACATCAGTCAACTGCAGTAATTATGAACAAAATTTCCCTTATCCATTTTTCGTTTTTGGTGAGAAAATCAGAACACGTGCTGTTACTTGTAAACAAATGACGATGGTGTCACCTATTCATTTATTGCTGTTCGGATCACGCAAAGTAGAGTTTGTTGATGGTATCGTGAGACTAGATAACTGGATTAACTTGGACATGGATCCAAAACATGCAGCCGCTATTGTAGCGCTTCGACCTGCTTTAGAAAGCTTAGTAGTTCGAGCTGCCAAAGAACCAGAAAAGATTCTCGAACTTAGTCCACTTGAAGAAAAGGTATTGGCTACTATTAAAGCCCTTTGTGGAATGAATGCGGGAAGATACGGTATGGAACCTGTTTCCGGAGGAGTTTATCAATCTCGAAGACCACCTAAGAGACACAGTTTTGGGTTTGACAATAACTTACTCTCTAAATTCTCACGAAATCATCCCGGACCTTTTCGAGGCAGAAGCGGTGGACCTTTTAATGGAGGAAGTAGAGGCTGGGGTAATAGTAATCAAGGATTTCATGGACGTAGATACTCACGAGGAGGTTACAACAATTATTAATAAATAATTACTTGTTTACAATCTTTCATATAATATTATACTATACTTGATATTGAATTCTTAATGAAATTATCAAAAACAAATAATTTTTTGATCATTTAATAGTTGATGAAGTAATGAATAAATTGAATACTTACATTATGTTATTTATTTCACGAAATTTTTTTTGTTTTAATGTAATATTTACACAACTTGATTATTATTAACATTCAAAAGCGAGAAATTAGATAAAGTTACATCACTACTAGAAAGTTTGGATTTCAAACTTTGGAATAATACTCACTGCGTTAGAAATTTTCTGTTCTATTTCTATTTCCTTGTTACCTACTTCACTTCAATTGATATCGAGCTTTGGCCTTTCGCCGCACAACGCGAGGGCGTAAAGTCAACTCCAGAAAACTTTCTGACTTCAGCCAGAGAAGAGAGACGTAAATAGAAGGGGAGCGTGACATCCGTCCCCAATAAGATGTCAGTCAAAGGCATTTTTACAATCTTTTAAATTTAAATCTTTAAATGTATAATCTTACTGATTGTCAATCAAATTCTATGATGCCCAGATTTTTTATCTAATGATCCTAAAAAATGTCAATTTTAGGACCAATAATCATATATATAGATCGATAGAGAATTAAATTTCCTGTCGATCTAGCTATACTAGAAAAATTCTCGCGCTGATAAAGTTGGAGCTTGCAAAGACTTCTGAAGTAACCAGCATGAGCCCAAAACATCCCCTCTTCCCTCACCGTATAGTGTCTTTGTCACACTTACGGTTCGAGTGATCATTTCACTCGCACTTATGCTCTACTATACTCAGCGCGTGCGCAGAAGTTTTGTGTGAGTGCGAGTGAAGCAGAGAGATATGTATTGCTCTCTGTCGCACCCGTTAGCGCCAGAAGAGGAAAAGCGCGCTCGGGGGCCCAAATATTAAAACCTTTAACCAAAATGAGAACGATTTAAATAATATATTGTCCATAAAAATAATGAAAAAATTGATAAAAAAAAAATTTTTTTTTCTGAAAATATACCTAAATATCTCATTTTTCGAAATAAATTGCCACAAAGTAATATTTATAGCGCTAAGTATTTTTTATTAATTTTCTTAGACGCGACTGGAGCTTTCGTCATTAGTGAAGCTTCAGTCGCGAATAACTTTTTATCTATCATAGATATGAAAAAAAGTGTTCAGTACTTTTTTTATTAAAATTAAATTCTGAACAACTTTTATTTAAAACATTTTTTCATATCTATGATAGAAATCGAGAAATTCGCGATGGGGGGTGGTTTTTCGCGATTTACTCCCCCCCTATGCGTGCCAAACATTCTTGACCTACACCATCGTGTTCCTCGCAAAATTTTCGATCTAGTTATCTATAAATCATCACTTTGGCCGCAACAAACCAAAATTATTCCATTTCCCTCATTTGATTGGACTACATATTTTAGCAATAATAATTGGTTTGATACTTTTTTATTTTCCTTATTACTATATATATTTACATTTGAATATCAATTAGTGTTAAAAAAGGTAATTGCAATCGAATTAATAATTCTTAATTTAACAATAGGTATTTATTGTACTATAAATTACTGTAATTATATATGTCATAATTATTTATTAGACGATCTGCTTTATATTTTAATATTATCAACTTTATACCTTTCTTGATTTTTAATCATGCAATGGTTCAATTATTCATTTTCATAACATCGATATTTATTTTTTTCATTAAAATTATATGAAAAACTATAATTAACTAAACAATTTAAATGATTCATAAAAATGTATTCGAACTCATTTTGTAGGTATATTGTTACACATAAACATAATGGTTGGTACAAATACTGATCTAAAGCAGCTTAAAAGATTGGAGACTGGGGAAAACCATGGGATGGACAAAAAAGTTTAAATGAAAAAAACAGCTTAGCCCATGTCCCGTAGAAACGTTACAATTATTTTAAAAATTATTTATAGACAAAAAGAGGGTTGATAATATCATTAATTAAAGTTGATTGATTATAAAATCTCTCTATATTACTACTTTCACTTTTATCAAAGTAACTCGATTCAAAAAACTTAGAAAATCGTGATATAATAACACTCAAATGCTGCAATGAATTATTTGTAAAAAATAAATATCAACTAAAAAGTTGATCGACTTATATCTAACTAACCAACTACCCTTTTATAAAAGGGTAGTTGGTTTTTTTTTAATCAATTATAATTGATTTTCAAAAATATTCTTTTCTTTAGCATATATAAAGTCGTTGAAGATACGCAAAGAAGTATTTATATATAAAAACAAATATTTTTTAATATCAATTGATTAATATATCAATGAACTAAGACGAAAGCTGTCAATAATGAAAAGTGATTTAAAAACTTACCTTTCGTTTTTAGGAAAGCGATGAAACGAGAGATGCGGCATCCTCGATGACACATTTTCGCATTTGAAAAATGCACATACATTTGTAGCTGGCATTTTTGCGTACACAATGCACAATCACTTATACACTGTATGCACTCTCGAAAAAAATCAAACAAATTTATATACTGATATATAAATTAAAGCAATGAATTCAATCGATAATTTTGAGTTGTAACTTTCCAAGAATTTCGGAAAATCTGAGAATTCAAGTTGGCTCTTTCTGCCGCGAAGCATTTTTTCTATGCGTGCGCATCTTTGGAGGGAAGTAGGCGTGACTGTGCCAAGAACACTGTCGCCACTTGGCTTTGGGGTACAGAAGCTTACATGTACAGTATCGCCGTCTGGCGGTTGGGGTGATAACTTTGTGGTTTGGGGTGATCTGGGGTGATCCCCAAATGGAACACGGCATTGTGATTCTATTTACGTCTCTCTTCTCTGCTTCAGCCCAGCCTTAATGACGCCGAGTGTACATTTTAAGGGAGCGTGACACCCGTCCCCAATAATAGTCCAGTCAATATAGGAGGCTTGGCTCCATTTGTCTTGAAAATTTTTGTACAAAGGGCAATTTTTAATTTTCTAATGTCAAAATATCCGTAATGACCTGTAGAAAAAATGTGCCCAAAAACGAAAGTGCGCTGATTTTTTTTTATATGATTTTTTCGCATTTTAGTGGTCCCGTGTATCTAAGCGAGACAGCACTATAGGCGGCACCACGCGCTAGAGAAGGACATAACTATCGGAATGAAAAAATCGTATTTTCGATAAAAAAAATTGTAGTTTTCTTGTTCAATATTATTTTATTAATTATTTGATGAACAAAAAAACCTACAAAATCATCAATTTCTTAAAGTTGGTAATTTTTTCATTTATTTATAAAAATTTGTTTTTTTATTTATGTATAAAAAATTTCTTCATTATAGTAAATAATATATTTATTTATTATATTCATTCATTATTTATGTACTTACATTAATTTGATATTTTTTTTAATTTTTTGGGTCAAATATTTGCCTAAAATAATTTGAAAACTGAATTATTGAAAAGTTGAAAAACTTCAAAAATAATGTCTGTCAGTATTATTCTCTTCTTTAATAAACATAAACAAGTTTTCAAATTTTTTTCACTTGAATTACGTTAACATTAAGATAAAAATGTTATTATCATTAGATTATAAGTCTAAACATCCTTCTTTATGTAGTAGGAATTGCATGCCATTACATGAGCCAGAAAGAAGACTTTTCTTTGTATAAGCATTTTGAATTTTTGATTGAAAACAGTGCAATTACTGTCATCTATGAGAAAACAATGACACTAGTTGAATTTTTTTCTACTATACCGACGCAAGATAATGTACCAGTCCTAATTTCTTAAGTTGACTGTTGAACGAAATGATAAACATTAAATTCAAACAATATAAAATAATGAAATCTAATTAATTTATAAATGTGACTCTACAATCATTTACAATCAAGTAAAAATGTTAATAATTATTTATACTCGATCAAAAGTATGAATTTATAAACAAAATTAATTTCAGTCTTTAAAAAAATTCATTAAACATAAGAAATTTATTAGATATAGTAAAATAAACATGTTTTATTTAAAATCACAGAAAAAATACATTTTCTCGAAAATAATGAGATCAAACTTAAAGTACTATAAAATATAAATCTCCAATTTTTTTACCTTAACATTTAATATTAATTAATATTTAACTTTGTATTTTTTTGGAAAAAAGGTTAAATTAAATATTCCATTTCATAATAATTTTTAGTTATATTTTAAATTATCAAATTTAACTTCAAACATAATATGAATCATATTTTTTTTTTCTTTACTAATCAAATCTAATAAAAAATAAAATCGAAACTGAAATAAAAATTGCATTTTTTCAAATCAAACGAACAATAAAATAAAAAGTTAAAGACAAAATTTTGCTTCATTCTTTTTGTCAAAATAAAAATTAAATTGAAATTTTACTTAAAATAGTAATAATGTTTGTTTATCATTAGCACATGGCCATCATCAAGAACGTAATTATCGTTTGTTTGAAAATTACATTTAACAAAAAAATGAATCTTTCAATCAAAATAATCAAATTGACTCGAAAGAATATTAAAAAAAAAATAAAACTTCTCATTTATTGAAGCTCTGCCTCTTGAACAATTGTCCTACATGTAGGACATTGAAGTGGTTGCTCTTCTGCTTCTGAAATTGCTTCCACCATCTCATAACAATTAGTGCATAAAAGTGCATGTTGACATGGACGAAATTTTAGGGCAATATTATAGCTCTCACACATCAAGCATTTATTTTCTCCTTCATTTATCACCTCATCTAAAGTAGTTTATAATATAAATTAAGATCGTCAGAAAATATGCGGAGAAAAAAGGAAAAAAGAAGAAAGTCTGACCTAGAGATGGCCAAGAAATGAAGAAAAGTACAAAGATAATTAAAGAAGATTCGAAACTTCGAAAATCTGTAATTCCAGTAGATATAATAATTAAGTAAAATTTTGAGTACGATTCAGCCCAAATTAGAATTTTAAGGAAACATATTTCTTACTATTATTATTTTGTCGTCGTGCCGGGACGTGATCCAACATTCCATCTTCGAAAATGAGATTATTCGGCATGTATTCATATCTTGGCAGCTCTTCATCTGCAATAATTGTTATTGTTATTTTTGCTATCATTTTTATATTATAATGTTTATTATTATATTCT